TCTACAGCTCAGACTCAGAGCCCTCTAGGCACTTCTGGAGGGCCAAGGGCTCCCTCTGCCCCTCTGGCATCCTCTGCAGGTCCCCACCTGTCACCACTCATCAACATGAATGGATTCATCTTGTCTGTCACCAGTCACCACAGATGCCTGCCTGTTGCTGTGGTCTCTGCCACTGGTCCCTGCCCATCACAGCCCGGCTCTGGAACCTCAGAGCCCGCAGTCTCTGTAATGCAAATCGCCCCGCCCACACTTTCAGAGGTGAGAATCACCCAAAGGATTATAGGACCACAACAGTGAGGCTTATTTGGCCCAGCTGCAGCACCAGCTGGTCAGGACGCTGCGGGGAGCCCTCCTCATTGAAACCAAGAGCACAAGTGTGAGCTGCGTCTATGGAGCTGCCGCACGCAGTTGTGTGCACGCCGTGGCCCTGCCAGGGAACTTCCACAATGATAACAAAGGGAGGGGCAGGTTAGGACAGTCACCAGCAGGGGCTGCAGCATAGTCAACATGGGCAGGTGCACGTTCTAGGGTGGCTGCAGCGAAGGTCAATTGAAGGTCAACCTCAGCACCCAGCAAAGGTTGAAGGATCTTCAGGAGTGGCTACTTGAATAGGAGCTACTACACCTCTCCCACATGTGGGGCTGAAATCAAGACTGTGGCTGCTTTGGTGGCATCTTTAGTGGGGCCAGCTGTTGAGGGAATCAGGGAAGTCAGTACACATGCGCATGTGGGGCCCAGCAGCTCCCAGTATTTGCCATGTGGGGTCTGCCTACCTTGGTTTGCAGCCCCCCAAGTCAGCCATCCTCAGATACACCCAGAATTCACCAGTCGGCTTGGCTGGTCCACCTCACGCCTGCATCACAAGTAATGACCATAAGCATGTACGTGCCTGTATGCGTGTGGGCATGTGTGTGTGATGCACGTGTGTGTGCGCATGTGCGTGTGTGCGTGTGTGTGTGTGTGTGTATGTGTGTGTGTGTGTGTGAAATCCGGTCACACTACCCAATAGGCCACACTGCCCGGGTAGGGGCTGACCCTCAAGAAAAGGAAATTCTGTCGCTTGGTTGACCACACGGAGGCCTATGTGGGCCACAGTGCCACCCTCTGACTGTCCCAGACCAAGCACCTGTTTCCCCCGTGTGACCTCACTGTCCCACACATGGGCCTGCCTGGGCTCTGCCCCTTCCCGGGAAGCCGTGCTGCTCCCGCAGAAGCAGGCTGAGGTGAGGCCAGCAATGGAAGAACAGAGCCTCACCTCCAGCACCCCACAGGCGCCGCTCCGCCTTCTCCTGGGTCCTGCGCTGACCCTCGCTTCTACCCACTACTCCCACCCACCTTAGGAACACACATGGATGCGCATGCTCACAGGGTATACACGCACAAAGAAGCTGCTTGCCACATGCACACGTGTGTGCACACACAATCTGAAGTTCTCTTGTGCCTGGAGACACACACTGAGATACACACACAGGTGCAGGTGGGCTGAGATTGTCATTTGAACAAACCAGACGCCCAAGGAGAAATTGTCCCCAGTGCCAGGACACAAGGCGCCAGGCCTGGGGCACAAGACAAAGGAAGATCTGGACCTACGCCCTGGGAAGAATGCGCCGACTGCCACATCTGCCCAGATGCGTGACTTCAGTACAGCATTCTAGGAAAAGGCTCATGAGGAAGGAGGAAGCTGACCATATTCTCATTTCAGTTAGAAAGTTTATTTCTTCCAGCAGGGAGCTGTGGGAGCAGAGGGCCCAGAAGCCTCATCCTCGGTGTGGACGACTCGGGCTCAGCACGCAGGGTCAGGCTTGAGGTACATGAGGAGGTCACCCCAGGGACTGTGGGTGTCCCCGCGGGGCTCACTGGCTGAGGAAAGCGCAGGCTTCCAGCAGGGCTGTGGACACAACACAGCAGACGTTCAGGGACTCAATTGTTTTGATTTGTTTAGTTTTTTGTTTCCTTTGATCTGGGTCCTGCCATGCAGTTTAGGCTGGACTCGAACCCACTGTGTAGCCCAGGATGGCCTCAACTGAAAAACTATTTTTTTTTGAATCCATGTTTTGCAGTAGTAAATCCAGGAGCGCACTTAAGCCTGCCTTGTCTACCCCTGTCCACACACTGAGTCAGTGCTACACGCCCACAGAGTACCACTCCCTCTTCTCCTAGCCCGCAGGGCCCCAAGAACACAGGCACTTCTGTTCTGCCCAAGCCAGGCAGTCCCCTGCGCTGGCCTGGGGGACAGAACCACCCACACCCTGTCTCTTAGAGACTCAGCTATCGCCTGCTCCACTCCATCCACATCTGAGCTCCTGACTTCTGGAACGCGAGCAATTCAGCCCATTTGCAAAGTGCCCAGGCGTGTGCGTGCATACACTCACTCTCTGCAGGCTCGCTGAGTTCCTGCTGCGGGTGACTCACTGCCCTGAGAGCTGGGGACAGGGGGATGAACAGACTGCCCTCAAGGGCATAGCTCCCGCAATCCAGTGGCCCCAAGAATCATCCCATCACTGCAGTTCTCTGTGCAGGCCGCATCTGCATGCCAGTGACCTGCGATGTGGCTGTCACCTCGGCGCCCTTGACATTGGAGCCTGATCATAGTTCTTTGGGGGGCCCAAGGGGGACAACTATCCCATGCATTTCTTAGAAAGCATCCTGGCCTCTACACCCTGACACCAGCAGCAGCTCCTAAATTATAGTAATAAAAAATGCTTCCTGAAGTTGCCAAATGTCCCCTCAGGGCAAATCATCCTGAGCTTCAAGGGGGGAGGAGGAGTGACAGTGACCTCTGGGCCTGGAGCCCAGCATCCCAAACTGTTCCGCCTTCCTAAGGAAGGGACTGGAGCGGGAATCGGGGGTCCACAGTGCCGGAGGACATGGTGCACACTCACAGTCGAGACTCGCACCGGGAGCCTCGCGGCCCTCGGGAAGTCACCTAAATATCTGAAAGGGCTAATGATGAGTGGGGCCTTCCCCCAGATTTTTGAGACTCTGCTTCCGGGCGGTGCCCTGCGCCCACACTGGCTTCTCAGCGCTGCTACCAGAGTCCACTTACGGGAGGTGGAGCACCGCTTGACGTTGGCAGTGGCGGTGACGTACTCTCGTCCCAAGTACGTCTCATAGGTTGTTTTGCCGTGGAGCCTGGCCAGGCACTCGGTGTTGTCGTTGAACAGAAGGTTTTTGGTTTCAGACCGGAACAGGCAGAACTCTTCTGGGCACCGCGATCCACTCCTTCCAAACCGAGCCTGGGTGGAACCGCAGAGGGTGAGTCACCGGGAAGACAGGTGTGCGTGGGCCGGGAGCCCAAGGGCGCTTCTCCTGCCGGGCCAGCCCTGGGAACACCAGGGCCCCATGCTCCAGGTGCACCAGGCCTCCCTGCCCACCCCCTTGCCTTCCTTCTTGTCCCATAGAGCCTCTTGCAGATGACTGGGTCACAACTGGAGATTTTTGAGGTCTGCTCCCCAATATGGACCCCTGGGACATCCTAACAACCAGCCCTCGGGAAGGCAATCTGCACTGCAGGCCTGTCCTCCCACTGCCCGGGAGGTAGCCAGGCAGGCCTCAGCCTCCTGGAGCACAGCCTCTTCTTCACACCCTGGCCACTGGGACACCTGGGGACATGACGTCATCACGGAGCACCTGAGATGCTAGTGTAGATCCCCAGATTTTAAGGGGACTTTGGGATTTCCTCCAAGTCACAAGGACACTGCCCTTCGTCTACAGGGCCAGTTCTAGGTCTATTGCTTGAGAAGGTTGGTCCAGAACATGGCTCTGCTGGGCCAGGAAGCACCGCAGAGTAAACCAGCCCCAACCGAAGCCTGCTCAAGGAAGGCGCCTCCATGCGTCTAAAGCAAAAGGAAGGAAAGGATGGGTGACAGGGCACCGGGGTACAGAACCAGGAACACAGGGACTCAGAGCAGAAGTCAGTTCCACCCCAGAAAGCCAGGACCAAAAGCCCCTGCAGTCCACAGACGACCCCCAGCAGGCAGCCAAGGGCAAACGCTGTCCCCAGCAGCCCCTCACAGGAGCCTCCACAGGCAGACAGAGCCAGGCCCTGGTGGTCCGCACCTGCTGGTCAAGCAGCACCTGTTCGAGGAATTGAGCCTTATCTTTCCGCGATACCACAGCATGATTGGGGGCCACGGCCAGGTGGCAGCTCCGGGCCTCCGTCACACGCTTCCGTGTGCCGTCGAGGCACAGCAGCCGGAAGTCCTCCAGGTTCAAGCCCCTGGCCCAGGGTTCAGAGCTCTTCCCTGTGAGAGAAGGAAGGAGGCATCAGCGGCAGCCACTCTGCTTGGCCGGGGCAAGTTTCAGGGTGGGCTTGTCACTCAGCAGGAAAAGAAGGTGATGGCTACACAAGGACAGACCTCGGAAGACTGATGCTACGAGAAGCAGCCAGGACAAAAGACCACAAATTCTGATCCCATCTGCAGGAACAGGCGCTCCTTGGAGCCAGCACACGGACTGTCCCAGTGCTCAAGGAGTGGCACGTGGGGTGGGGGTGCATGCTGGCTGGGGCCTTCTGGGGCCACTCCAGGGCCTAAGCGTCTGGGGAGATGTGTTAGTGGATGCACAGCTGGGTTTGCTGCTGGGTGGGTCTATCGTATGTGAACTATACCACAATAAAGCTGTTAAAAGTTCTTTTTAAGTTCTTTACTTTTTGAGTCAGGGTCTTGCTATGCCATTCAGGCTGTCCTCGAACTTACTACACAGCCCAGGCCAGCCTCAGACTTAGCAAGTTTAGCATGCTCCTGGCCAGCCTCTTGAGTGCTGGGATTACAGGTGCGCAACACCACACCCAGCAAACTTTCAAGGTGGTTTTGTTGTTGTTGTTTTAAAGGATGAAAGAAAGAAAGAAAGCTGTTCATCTATGTCGTATTTCTACTGATTCTAGAAAAAGAAAACAGATTGAATATGCTTTATCCAAAGTGCTGGAACTACAAGTGCTTTGGAGTTGGAGCTTGTTTTTCAGATTTGGGGACCTTTGCATATTCATTATAGATTCACTTGTGTCTCATATGTACAGTATGTGCACACAACCTGCACTTAAGTTTTTACAGTATTTTTAGTGACCTCCAGCACTGTGACGGGCTCATCACATGGGGTTGGGATGGGATTTCCCACATTTCATCATCCTGGAACATTTCCAATGTCAGGTTTTCAAATCGGGTGCGGCAGCCTGTAGCTGGCCTACGGTCAAGGAGGATTTCCCTTCTGTTGCCATTGTCAACTGCTCTTACTCTAACCAGAGAAAAGGCTGGAACATCCACAGCTAGCAAGTATGCTTGGTCAATTCTGATCAAACACCCCTGCAAGTGGCAGAGGGGCTTAAAATTCAGTTGGACCCCATCTAATCCCAGGGACCGTGTCAGCTGGCTGTCATTCATTCTCAGTGCAGAAACACAGGCAGGACTGTGCCCCAGTCTGGGTCCCTGTTTGGGTGCCCTGACCTCTCCCTCCACATCCTCTGTCTTGAGACACCATAGCACCCTCCTCTTGGTCCCTCTGTGTGGTGCTGTGATCATTCCAGACCCTCCAGTCAGGCCCCCACCCCCCTCCCAGAGCCACAAGGAGACCAGAGTAGCAGGAGGTCTGGGGACAGGGGCTGGAGGAAGCCCTTGACTTCCTGCTTTCAAAAGGGAAATTTTGTTTGCCTGGCTCAGTCTCCTGGTATCGTCCATTCTCAGTTTCTTCCCAGAGCATGTGATCTGGTGTGAGCAGATGACAGATTTCTGCTCATGACTAAGCCAAGCTAGGGTGCATGTGTATTGCGTGACCACATGTTTGTGTCCACGTGTGGGGGCCCACGTATGTGTGTGGGGCTACGTGTGTGAGTTCACATGTGTGTGAATTCAGCTTCATAAACCACAGTGGTACCCACAGATCTTACTGAGTTGTCCCCCAAGATTAAGATTCTGGACTTCAGTCAAAGGTCGAAACCTGTTAGTTGTCTTCCGGGTGCAAAGCCGAAGACCATGGGTGGGGAGGTCACCTACCATCTGTGTTCTGCAAGACGGTGGAATCTTTCAGAAACGCCACATCCCCGGCCCGCTCAGCAAGGCACCTAGAGTATTTCAGAAAATACACACATCCAAGATAAAAGAGGCAGTTAGTGCCTTCACAGGTATCTACAAATACGTTCCAAAATCTGAAACATGCAAAAGATGAAATGCAAAATCCAGGCATTTAGGATTTTAAAAGGCAGATGAGTACATCTGTGTGCCCTCCCGAAGCCCCAGAGGGGTGCAGCCTGCAGGACGTCTTCCCAGGGAGCAGCTTTCTCCCAGGGGATCTGCTCACCCAAGGAAAACCCAAAGATTCTAAAGTTGAGGTGTTCACCCTAAAGTGCAGCGGCCTCCAGCGAGGCCCGGCTCCTCTGTGACCCAGTAGCTGGCAGCAAGCGCCATCTTTTCGTGGTAAATTAATCTAATACTTTGCTCTTAAATATGGAAAACGAGCCAGAGACCATCCGATATTTGAAGCAGAACCATTAAAAGTAGAGACCAAGGCACTATATTCAAGATACAAAAACAATATAGAGAAGAGAAATAAGCTAAGAAAAAAGCTGTAATTTGTATCACTAAAGCTGTGAAAGAACATGAGGCATTTGCAAAACAAGAGCAGAATTCTGTAAAATAGGCAGCCAAAATGCAAGAGTTAATAGAAAGTTGTTCTGAAAATCTTTAAAATTTTTAAAAACAATAAAAGATTAGATTTGACTGAGCAAATAAACCATAAATGACAATATAAGGAACAGACAATAAAAAGCAAATGAAAAAGCCAAATGATAATCTAAAAGAATATATAATTTAAAATTAAAATTTAAGGAGAAATCAGAAAAATAGGATAGAAATTGTCAAAGAAATAATAACATTCTCCAGAATTAAATAACTTGTGTTCAAATGAAAAGGTGCATGAAATGCCCACGCCAATAAATCAGGAGTTGCACATAAATAAAACCAGTATGAAGTTTCAGCTCACCTGAGATTGTTTTAAAAAGCTCAAAAAGTTTTCAAGAAAAAGAAAACGCAGTGTACAAAGAGTCCCCAAGCAAGTTGATAATATTGTCCTCAAAAACATTCTGGGAAGTAGAAAACAATGGCTTGATTTTTTATGTCTTGATTTTGCTCTATTTTTATCTTCTGCCTTCCTGTGCTATGCTCCAGACAATTTTCCTTTCATTTCACTAATTCTCCTGTCAGTTACATCTAGTTGGTTAAACTGGTCGGCTGCATAACTAGTGTCAATAGTTATTTTTTCCTTTCTAGAAGATCTAATTATGCCTTTTGAAAGTACTAACTCGCTTTCTTGCCTGGCTTTCTGCCTATGCCAGCTTCCTCTGATTGCTGCTTGCTACCGTGTTGCTCTCTGTCACCGACAGGGTATTTTTGTTCGTATTCTCTGAAGAGGAATCTGAAGATTGTGTGGCCCAGGGGGCTATTTTTGTCCACTTCAAAAATATTCATGAGTTAGGGATTTCTGGACCATCCCAGGGGACACAAATTTGAAGCACAGATCCACTCAAGGACTGCTTATGGTTTCAAGTTCTCCACAGCAGTGCTCCTTGTCATTTTCCACAACTTCAGGCAAACTCTGCATCTAGCAGGGGTGGATGGGAAGCGACTCTGATTCTCTCTGTGAGGGCGGGGAGCCCGTTAAGGTCCAGACTGCGGGGCACATCTCAGGACAAAGCAGCTGCACCTCCTCCCTGAATCCTCATTCCCTTTGGGTCGTACCCTAAATAATTCCCCACTGTTCTGCCACCTACTCCATGTTCCCAGGGACACGTGCATGGAGGCATGCAGGGCCCAGGGCCCCCAGTGCGTAAGCTTGTCTTGAGTGGGAGAGTTTGGTCAAAATAGCCCTACGCCACTTTCCAGATATAGAAATCTTGTCAATCTTCCTAGGGAAAAGGTTTTTCAACTTAGACCTCATCATTCAGCCAAATGATGAATCACTGAAGAAGACGTCTGGAGACTCAAAAATAAATATGTCAGAAAATAGCAAGGCCTTCACCCTTCTTTCAGGGGCTGCAGGAGGAAGCTGCGCTCCTTTGCAACAAGACCGAGAAAGCTACAGAAACGAAATCCAGGAAACAGATGTGATGTGAGAGAAAGGGACAACCCAGAGCGACATCCACAGGGCTGTCCCGGGCCACAGAGGCCCAGGTGGCCCAGGAGCTCCTGCCCCAGGCTGCCGCTGCAGGACAGAGGTCTCGGGAACAGCACTCCCGGGAAAAGGAAGACACCGAGACAGTCTGCGTGGTCGGGAGGCGCCTGCTGCTGGGGAGAGCTGCGCACGCATGAACTTCAAAAAGCACAGAAATTGAAGCAAATTTTAAAAACAAGACGTCTGTCATCTCCAGCGCAAACAGAAAGTTTGCACAATAAGCGAGACCTAATGCTACCAAGCCACATATCTGATAAGAGAATAGCGATCGCGGGGCCATAACACGCTGGCAGGCTGCCCACACGGCCCCGTCGCGTGGGGTGTGCAGAGGCGACCTGCGGCGGCGAGCAGCAGAGGGGCCGGGCAAGTGAGAGGCGGTGGCGCGCCTCAGGCCGAGGTCAGCCGGAAGCGGCCAAAGGCAGAGGCTAAGAATAAGCACTACTACGGTTAGTTAGAAATCTAAGGATGCTTAAGACCTCTGGTTCAATTTTCGATTATTTTGTTATGAACTCGTCCAGTCTAGACTCTAGATGTAATTAGAACAAAGGACACAGCAGTCTTCTGGTATAAATAGAAATGCACCACAGCAGACCACCTTGCAGAGATGATGCCCTGCCGGTGCCTGGGGAGGAGGCAGAGGCTGGGGGCACGCGGTGCCTTGGGGTCCTTATAGGGCTCGTGTCTGTGCGCAACTTAGATCAGGACTTCTTTTCGCAAACCCTTAGAACCTCAAAGATATTTTTTCCCATAATTTTATTGAGAAACAAACAGCAATGAGACAGTTTCAAACCAAATTGGTAGGAGAGTTTCAATAATTAACACACTACATACATTCTTCCTAGTTGTTAATTGCTGTACAAGATGCGGACATGAGATCCTATTTACAAACACCATTAGAACAAATTCCTCTATTCATTAAGAGAATGTAACTATATATCTATCCCAACCACTTTGAATACACAGATACCAAATGGACATTCATCTGTATCTCCTTTTCTTGTTTAGTTCCGTTATTTGAATATTATAGGTGTGTCAACTCAGCAAAATAAACTATATTCTTGTACACTAAAATAAGCTTGTTTTTAGGGCTGGGGTGATAGCTCAGTGGACTAAACGCCTGCGTAGGCTAGTGCAGGAACTGGGGTTCGATCCCCAGCACCACAAGCTGTGCCAACCTCACCCCCAGGCACGCTGAATGGGCCACCAAGACCAGGAGTGGTGGCGCACACCTGTAATGCCAGCGCTGGGGAGGCTGAATACAGGAGGATCATACGGGTCCCAGCTGCATAGTCTCACTACACATATAATACGTACATAAGCACACTTTTGTGCGCTTGATTTTTATGACTCACTCAGAATATACCAGAAGTATTTGGGTACCATGCCCTCACGGGAGCAAAGGCACTGAGTTTATATGAAAGAGCACCAAGGCCACCCACGCCGTTCTCAGATTCATGGTGCCACCTGGTGGCAAAATACACTCTTGGCCGAGCAGAGAGTGAGACCTGGAGAAGACCCGGATGACGTCCCTGAACCCCTGAACAGCACCACCTCAAAGCAAGCCCAGAGTAAAGAAATGATGCGCGTAGGCTGTAGAGATGCGCTGCGAACATGCCGTGGGCATTGTCTATTAATTCTGAAAGCTTTTTCTTTCGGCAGCACTGGGATCAAGCTCAGCCGCATTCTACCACACAGCTACTTCCCCAAGCCTTAAAAAAAAATTTTTTTTAAAAACTTTGAGATATAGTCTAGCTAAGTTGTCCAGGCTGACCTCAAACTAACAATCCTCCTGCCTCAGCCTCCTGAAAGGCTGCCATGGGAACATGGGCAGGGCGGGGAGTCCAAAGTGGTGCTGTCCAGCAGGACTGTGACAGGCCACTCCTTGTGCCCAAGACCCACCCTGTGGAGACCTGAGACTCACCGGAAGGCACCCACGTAGCCGAAGTAGCGCTCCTGGCTGTTGGGCACACACTTATTCTCACCCTTGTCGTTGCCCACACACAGGGCACACAGGCTGGACCCGGGCTCGGCCCCAGGGGCACAGCTCTGACTGAAGAATTCACCTGCAGGAGGATACAGGAGGTCAGGTCAGGCTTCCATGGAGCAGATGACAGGGCTGGTCAGTGCGTGTCCGGGTCAGACAGCACACACTGTCCCAGAGGAGAACTGGCTGCCACCAGCCAAGGCCACCAAGTCAGCAGTGCGTCACACACAGCTACAGGTGCGGACCCCCTCCCCTTCTCGCTCCTCATCCTGCCTAGGAGGCAGGAGCAGGCCGCACCTCCAGCTCTCCAGCGGCCCCCAGTGGCCCTGGGGTGGAAGCCACACAGCCCTGTGATCCCGCCAGCTCTGGACTCACTTTCCTGAGAGAAGAGGATGCCTGTCTCAGAGGAGCCTCTACACTACTCTGGGATTAGGGTGGCTGTGTCCCTTGCTGATGAGCCTCATCAGAATGTAACCCTGGTGTCGTTCCACCCAGCAGAAAGGGAGGCAAAGGCGACAAGAGGTCCCGAGCACAAGTCACCTTGTATCAGACCCTGCAGCCCCTGGAGACAGCTCAGAACTACCACAGGGCTGACAAGAGCAGCAACCTTGTCGCCTGCCGTACAGGGGAGAAACACAGGCCCCAGCCAGGACCAAAGCCTGGTGACCCCGCAGTGGGGCCCTGCGCAGGCAGATGCCCACCAAGAGCAGGGCCTCAGTGAGAGTACACCAGGCACCCACACCGCAAGGCCACTACAGGCGTGGCCAGCACTGGCCAGGAGAGTGGGCCGTGTGGGGACCAGAGGCCAGCAGAGGACAGAGTGGGTAAGCAGTCAGGTGGAAGTGGGGAGCTATGAGGACTTTGGATCCAGGGCTCCAAAATGTAAAAATACTGAACTTTTCAGAACATGCACCCATTCTTTTAAAGCAGAGAACGAGGTCGATATTCCAATCGTGCGTGCGTGCGTGCGTATACACGTGTGTCTGAGCTTTGAGCCCAGGGTGCTAGGCAGACATTCTGGGGCTGGCCAGATCCCCGGCCCTTTTCATTTTGAGACAGTATCTTGCTAAATTGCTCAGGCTGGCCTTAAATTTGCAGTCCTCCTGCCTCAGCCTTCTGAGCAGCTGGGATCACAGACATGTATCACCAGACCTGACTTGATCCGCAAGCCCTTATCTCCATAGGTGTCCAGCAGGCAGCCACCTCCTGCATCCGTGGGAAGTCCCAGGGAGGACTTTCTGCCACCCAAAGACACCTGTGGGCCCAAGCTGCAGATCTCCCAGCCCCACCTACGCCCCGGGAAGCCATACCGAATCTGCAGGAGCCAGTCTGGTTGGCGAGCAGACCCAGGGGGATGATCCAGCCGGCAGTCCGGTCCAGGGCTGTGTGGCAGGACTTCCTGCCCCTCAGGGAGTTCCAGGTAAGGCTAGTGTCTGATGCATGAACCGCTGCCACAGCAAAGTACCCTGGCACACAGACAACAGAGCGACCTTAGCCCCGGGGAGGCCTGGCACATGGAGCCCAGGGCAGGGTCCACCAGGTAGGCCATGTTAGGAGGCACCACCAGGGGATGGCTCCTCTAGTAACTGGCCATTGCTAGGCAGACCCACAAGGGCGAGCCACTGTCCTGTGTTAAGGGGGGAGTGGGCTGGGTTATAAAAACTGGGCTGGCCAGACACCGCAGGGACTGTCCTCAAGCAGCCCCACAATGTCCCCAAGTTACACGAGAGCCATAAAAGGATAAATGCTGAACCACAGTGTACACTGGGCAAGAGCAGTGGGGGCCACCCCTGCATGGACACAGGGGCTCCCTGAGTGGCAAAGGGGTCAGCACTGCCCTCTCAGGAGCTGCTGTGCGGCACAGAGACCCTGGTTCACAGCAGGATCTGCCACAGAGCTGTCCACAGCTGGGCATGGGTGACACTGGACAGTTTCTGTCCTCTGCCTATGTGAGATCCACTCCTCGGGAATGTCCCCCTGCCTTCGTGGTTTCCGGGGCCACATCTCTTCCTGTAAGTTGGGGTTTTTTCAGTTCCCAACACCACCTTGTCCGCTGGCAACAAGAACTTATTCTTGCTCCTGAAAGTTTCTCGCTCCACCTCACCTTCTGGTGGTCTGTTCACGCAGTCAGAGCCTGGGTTTTCTTGGGATGCTGAAATAACAAAGATGAGCAAAGCGTCCTTCAACACTGAGTTACCAAGAAGTCACACACCTCAAAAGTCCCATGATGCAGAGTCCAGTCTGAGAGATGGCCGTGGCCGGTCCACACGGCAGAATTGAGGACACATTCTCACCAGGAGAAGAACAAAGCAAGCCTAGCCACAATCGTCACCCACTGGCAGGTCCCCATGGTAGGGGCCTGGGTGAATAATTACTGGAGAGTCACACGCAGAAGGCTGTGCAGCAAGGACACTAACCTCGGGACAGCTGCACACGAACATGGATGAATACCGCATTTAAAATGTGCTGCACTAGGGCCGGCCAGATAGCTCAGCAGATTAAAGCGCCTGCTTAGGCAGATTCAGGGACTGGGGTTCGATCCCCGGTGTGCTGTGCTGGCCCTGCCCCAGGGCATGCTGAGATGGTGACTGAGACTGGGCGTGGTGGCATACACCTATAATCTCAGCACTTGGGAGGCTGAAAAAAGGAGGATCACTACGAGTCCAATCTACGTAGTGAGACCCTGTAGATCCTGTACTAAATACATAAAAATACATAAAGAAAATGTGCTTCATGATGTTCAGACACAGACAGAACTGACCAATGTCATGGCCTTGGTAGGAGGACAGGGCTGGGGGCCTCAGGACACCAGGGACTTCTGACCTCCGCTGGGCCTCCTTCGTGCCCTGGAGCACGGCGTGCAATTGCAGAGCACTGTGCAGGGCTGTGCTTTATTAATATTCTTCAATTAAGAGAAGAAATCGTACATCTACTCGGCAGACCCGGAGCAGTTTCCACGAGGGATGCAGGAGAAGCAGCGCCTCGCCGCCCTTCGGCTGCGGCAGCCGAGACTGACTTGGGAACAGCGCTGCCAGCGGTGAGGAATTTGTCCTACTCCAAAGAAGCTAAAACCTAGGCTTGGCGGCCGGGGAGATGACTCAGTGGAATAAGCGCTTCCCTGGCAAGCGCAAGGACCTGAGTTCAATCCCCGGTTCCGCCAAAAAATAAAAAAATTAAAAAAAAAATAAAACCTAGGCTTACGAGTGTTGGAGGATAACGCCGCGCAACCTCGCCTGGGTGATCAAATCTTTAAAAACTTGGAGACTGGGAAGATAGCTCAGTGGCCTAAGCACCTGCCTGGCAAACACAAGGAAGGGGTTCAATCCCTGGTACTGCACAGCACACCAGCCCAGAACCCAAGGTGCCCCATGCCAGCCCCAAAACCGGTCTGGTGCATGTCTGTAACCCCAGTGCTGGGGAGACTGAGGCAGGTGCATCACTACAAGTCTGAGCTGTGTAGTGAGACCCTTTACCAAATAAGTAAATAATTTTTTTAAGGTCTTAAAGCTTAATGCACAAAAGCAAGCCAGTGACTCTCAGAAAAAGGGAGAAAAGACAGACGCAGGAGGAGGGAGACAATCTTCGGGTCTCCGCACACTGAGTGCACCCTCCCCTCAGGGGTCCACCTGGCACACACCCCAGCTCTTCCCCTGGCTCCAGCGAATGGCCTGCTCCTCCCCATGCCCACAAAGAACCCCACCTCCGCTCACCCTGGTTCTCTGCCAGGACGGGCACCAGGCCGCACTTGCCCGCCATGTAGATGAACCCTCCATCCAGACTCATGGCGTCCACCTCGCCTTTCTGTGGAGACAGAGCCGATCTCAGGGCACAGTGAGGGGCCTCTTGCTGCTGTGTTCAGAGCCCCAGGCAGCGGCAGCATGTCACCCCATGGCCCCTCGAAACCCGCTGTTTGAGCTGAGCACTCCGAGGAAATGTACACGCTGGGCCACAGGCTCACTGCGTACCCAGTTGGAAAAGCCAGGCCACTCACCCAGCGCTCTCTCCCCCTGTCCTCTGAGCAAATCCCTGTCCACACTGGTGACACTGAGGCACCCAGGTGGGGCCCAGCTACACCCTACCACCGCCCTCAGAGGGCCACACAGCAGGTGCCGCACAGGCTCACTCATGCAAGCGCGACCAGGTCTCCCACAGACACGCGGGCCAGCAGGATGTCAGAGGTCTCTGCCTGTGGCCACTAAGAGGTGGCTCCAGGGGCCCAGCCATGCTGGAGATGAGGACTTCTACTGAAGAGCCTACCGCAGGGTTATGGATTGCAGTGAAGTAAAGGGGCAAAATGGTGGTGACTAAACCGAACCCAGCCACATAAAAGGTGTTCTGAAATCACTGCCCACAAACAGGTGTTCACATGGGAAGTGTCCGTGACATGCTTGCTGTCCAGTGAAAAACCTCAAAAGCTCCATTCACCAGTCCTGGAACCCCAAGTGTACATCAGGAAGTGCAGGAGAAATCCTGCAGTGGAGAATCACCCAAACTGTCGCCATAGCCAGGCGCAGCGACACACACCTGCAACTCCAGCACTCCGTGAAGCTGAGTCAGGAGGCGCCTAAGCCTGAGCCCAGCCTGGGCAATTAGCCCACCCTCCCATATCATTACAATTAAAATTTTAAAAGGGCTAAGGATGTAACTGAGGGCGGAGGCTCTGGGTTCAATTCCCAGTGCTAAAAATGAAGAGAAAAAAAAACTTTAATTGTGGTTTTCTCTGCATAAAACCACAAGTGGGCTTTGGTTGGTTGGCTGGAGTGTGTGCGTGTGTGTGTGTGTGTGTGTGTGTGTGTGTGTGTGTGTGTTTCCCATGTTCCAGATTACACACAATGATCCTGAGTTATTCTAGTAAAAAGAGTGAAAACTTTACAATGAGCTGCTTTTTCAATCTAAAATCGTGCCCCGTGGGCAGGTGCAGGCTGCCCTCAGCCGCCTGTCTGGCAGTGGCAGACACCCATCCTGGCCGGGTCCTCCCGGAGCCCTGTTCCCACCCCCGTGGCACAGGCGCCCACCATGGTGAGCAGGATGCAGTCCTCTGTGGTGCGGGCCGCGGCACAGGTCACTCTGCCGCCACTGACGCTGCTCCAGCGGTCACACTTGCTCTTCTCCTGGGGGCCGACCGCACACCACACAACCCGCGAGCGCCGGGCAGCCACATCTGCCTCCTCTGTAGAGAAGAGTCACAGGCTAGGCACGGCTCCTCCTCCTTTGTCCCTCCTCTCTGTCCATCCCTCAGTTCCTACCAGCTCTGGCCCAAGGGGCTGCCTCAGTTTCTCCTCCTCTTCCACAGATTCCCTGACTTCTCATCCTTACCCCTATCCCCAAGGACTCACAGTGTCCTTCCTGAGAAGTGGCGGAGGGGACCTTGAGTCCAGCCCCAGCATCCCCTAGGCCCACCATGGATGACGGTGGGCCTCTGGTCACCCTGGTTCCCCCTGAAGCCCCAGAGAAGAAGAGGAAGTCTGAGCCAGTCCTCTGTGGCCTCCAGCCCTGGCCAAACTCAGAAGGTGAGTCTTCAGCCCTGGAGCTGTCTGGGCTCCTGCTCCCGTTTCTCACTTAACAGGAGGCCAGCTGGCTTTCCTGCCAGTCCTAGGGATCCTGGCCCATTAGGGGCACATGGGAGCATGAATTCTAGGGCCAGGATTTGGGGGGATGCCTCTCTGCCACCCTGCCTCAGCTGACAGCAGACGCTGGCACCTGCATCAAGCCCACCGTGAAGAGGACGGCCCGGAGGCCAGGAGACGACAGTGACATCGCCGGTCAGGGCCAGCCTGCCCAGAAGGCAGCTCCTGCGCTCCCAGTGCACACTCACTTTCCTCCATGTTCCGGATGGAGGAGAGGTAGCCAAAGCCCAGGTACAGCCCGGCGTCTATCTTCTCGGGGACCCTCACAAAGCCGAGGGCCGAGTCCTTGAACAGCAGGTCCTTCTTCCCCGGGGGGGAACTAAAGAGCTGGAATGCTGACGACTTGTTTCTTCCAAACTTTTCCTAACAAAGGAAAAGTAGAATTATGAACTCAGCAGTCAGTAGGGAGGAAGTGTTGAAGCCCGAGTGTTGAAAATGAGGTCTGGCATTTCGGGATAATTTGGGGAAGGGGGTTCTGAACCCTCCAAGGCTGGACTCCCACCATCCCAGAGGTGCAAGCTCAGCTTGGGCCAGCGTCTGGGAAGGGCCTTTGAGTCCTAAGGATGCCATGCCCTCCTCTTCCACTGCAGTATGAGCTGCCGGGGTCAGCCAGGCTGGAAAGGTCCAACCTTCCGCCATCCAGGCTGGAGTCCCCTGAGCCAGGAGGGGCTTCTCGAGCTACACAAGTCAGTCTCCATGCCCCCCATTCCAAGCATGAGGGAGCACCCCAGGTGGGGCTACCTGTGCCTGCTGGAGAAACTCCCAGATCAGATCCTCCCGGCCATTCACACTGCGGGCCACGACAGCGTGAGAAGGGACGCGGGCCAGGTGGCACTGCTTGTACTCGTCCACCGGCCTCCAGGTGTTGTCCGGGCAGAGCAACTTGTACTGGTCTCGCTGGGCCTTGTCCGGCAGGTCCTCTGTGGGAGGGAGAGGGCCCGGGTAAGACAAGGCAGGAAGCACGAGCTGAAGGAAACAGCCTGCCCGATGACAGAAGTGAGAGACGGGTGGACAGTGCGACGGCTCAGACCCAGAATGTCCCCCACTGGCTCCTGCGCTTGGAGGCAGGCTGTCAGTGACGGTCGCAGCACTGTCCTCATCAGAGGCTCCATTCCTGGATGCAGCCATGGCTGCGCTCGCTGTTAAGGGGCAGAGCCTGGCTAGAGCCTGGCCACTGGGGTGTGACCGGAAGCGTGCGCCTCCCTCCTGGCTCATGCTTCACTCCTGCTTCCTGGCTACCATGAGGTGGGCAACTGTCCTTCTCCCAGGCCCGTCCACCATGCTGTTTCTGCCTTGGAGCCAGTTACCGGGGACTGGACCCTCTGAAAACTGTGAGCCAAAGTAACCCTCTGCTCCTTTAGAGGGTGTCAGGTATTCTGTTCAGCAATGAGAAAGCTGATAATTGGGCTGAGGGTGTGGCTCAGTGGTGCAGCTCTTGCCTAGCCTGTGTGGGACCCTGGAGTCCATCTCCATTAGGGAGGGAGGGAAGGAGGGAGGGAGGGCAGGAGGGAAGGAGGGAGGGAGGGAGGACATCCTGAAAATAAAGGCAGTGAATGACTCCAGACCACTCAAAAAGGTGACGAGAGCTCCAGAAGGACCCAGGGCTGGCAGAGCTGTGGGATACGGCTGATCACATCTTGCAGCTCTGCTGGAGTCGGTCACCTCACAGGTCACCTCATAGACCCTGTTCTCACATTTCCAGGAAAAGTAAAAAGTAACCAAAAGATTTAAGGCAGAAAACACCCTGGAGTCGCTCTCCACACTGGGCCTGTTACAGACCAGGAGGTGTTGATATGAACAAGTCTGGCTGGGTTTTGGAAGTGCCTGTTTTGCGGGGGGGGGGGGTTCCATAATTTTATTGAGAAACAAATAGCAATGAGACAGTTCCAAACCAAATTGGTAAGACAGTTTCAATAATTAACACACTGCATACATTCTTCCTAGTAGTTAATTGCTGTATAAGATGCGGACTTGATAGCCTATTTACAAGCACCATTAGAGCAAATCCCTCTATTCATTGAGAGAATGTAACTATATATCTATCCTAACCACTTTGAATACACAGATACAAAATGGACATTCATCTGTATCCCCTTTTTTTGTTAAGTTCCATCATTTAAATATTATAGGTGTGTAAACTCAGCAAAATATTCTAAAAGAGTTCAGTAGCCCATAATAGCATTGGGTCTTCCGCTTGACTGGCAATGTCAGAAATTGTTGACCTGAGTCCTCTACAGCTCAACATAACAGCATGGCTTTACTTCTTGTACTTCCTTTTTATACTTTTCTGCTGGATGGTTAAGACCAAGGTAAAGCAGGACCTATGCAACAAGAGTTGTAGCTTTTGGGCCTGAGAAGGTCAGTGAAATGCCCTCAGGATTTATCCTGAGATCCTATACCTCAGATTGTAGAACCTTTGTCAGTGCAGCCATGTGGATGAGTCACGGCCATTGCTTGGCCAATGTGCTCTCTGTGAAAGCCTGAGAGAATGTTTTCTCTCCATGTGACTCTCCTTAGGCACACTCTACATCATTGATCACTTTCCTCTTTGGCCCCATAATCTCCTTGATCAGAAAACTTGGGACACTGGAAGTGCCCATTTTATTGTACACAGATTGATTCAGGACGTAGAGAATGACAGTAAACCTGATGTTAAAATCAGAAGAAGATGTACAGGAGGGAAGAATCGTGGGCCTAGTTTATTGCTGGATATTATGCAAAAATTCCACACAATATATTAGCTAACTCAGCCTAGTGGTTTTTGAAATCCTAATAGAACAGGATTAACTTCTTTTGGGGGGGATGCAGTACTGGGGATCAAACTCAGGACCTTGCACTTGCCAGGCACTTATGCCCCTGAGCTATCTCCCTAGCCCAAGATTAACATTTGAGTTTATCTTGTTGACAGAGCCTGGGAGAGAAAGAGCAGGGCGAAGCCTATTCGCCATGCTGACGGATGGAAGAGAACCACAGCCCTTCCCATGTCACAGGTGCAGACAAAGCGTGTGTGTTCCTCAGCTGTTTGTGACCTTTTTTAGCTTCAGAAAGCTAGCAAGTTAGAGAACCTAGAAATGTCTGAAACTTGATAAATTTCAGTTATCAAAACTTCTACAACAAAGCTGGGCATGGTGGCACATACATGTAATCTCAGCATTCGGGAGGCTGAGGCAGGAAGGTCATTGTGAGTTCAAGACCAGCCTGGGCTACAAAGTGAGCTCAAGGCCAGCCTGAACTGCATAGTGAGACTGTCTCAAAAATATTTTTTTTTTCTACAGCAAAACCACTTGAAAAGGAAATTTTGCCAAAGTAAGAGTGCCTCCTATCCCAGTGCCAAGAAAATCATATGTTTCAGGTTCACACAATTTATAAAATCAAGAAAAGATAAACCCTCCTTAAAGATGATGGAATTATCTACCTAGAAAAGCCAATGAAGCAACACCACAGAAAAAAACCAACAGCATTCAAAAGGGTAACAAGTAATTAGGTCAAACATTACCAATAAAAAACCAAGCATTCCTAGTGGTGCCGAACAGAAATAATACAGAACATAAGGCATTACGGTGGCAACTAAAATAATGAAATATTTAGTAGGATCACAAAAATGCATAATACCCGAATGAGAAAAATGTGACACTCCATGAAAGACATAAAAAGAGGTTTTATCAAATGGGAAGATTTAACACTGTCATGAATTCGTCAACCTAATAACTACAGATAGATTTAAATTCTATAAAATTACAATTAAAGTTTAAATTTTTAGAAATCCAGCAAAATAACTCTGAACTTTCAGCTTGGAAAAGCTGAAAATAAATAGTGAAGTCAGGAAGGGAGTTTCCTCTCTCTGGTAGAGAGAGCTTCCACATGCCAGGGTAATAAAAACAGAAAAACACAAACACACTAAGCACGCAAGTGGAGTTTTTATGGTTACTATAGGAGAAATTGTCTATACCAGGAAGAAATGCTAACGCAAGTCTACACCTGATGTCCCAGGCAGTAACAAATAAGCAGCTGGGAGGAGGAGAAAAAGGAGGAGGAGGAGGTGGAGGAGGAAGAGGAGGGAATCGTTCATCCTCTCAACTGAAATTGTCATGATTTGGGGGTGAAATGAGTATCTTTAAAAGACCCCCAAACCACAAATGAGCTCAGAAAATTGATGGGTGTTAGCCTATCAATTTCAAAGACTTCTGTACTATTGCCCTAAAGTCTAACACCTACAACGATATGATACCTAGAGATGCTCCTGAGCTCGAATTGAAACCCTGAAGAAACAAGTCAGAGGTTACTGAATAAGAGCAAGGGGCCCCAGCAGAGCAGACGCAGTGAGAACTGGCTCCCAGGCGTCACAGGAGTGCAGATTCAGCCAGTGAGGAGACTGTGCTAGAGCTCTCGTGTGGACAAACAAAATGAGTGTCAAGACAACTCGAAGTAGTGCAGAAACAAGAGCACTAGCAGAGCAGTGGTGAGAATGTAGATCCTGAGAACACCGTGACCCTCCTGGGGACCTTGATGACCCGTGTGGGGCCCCTGGGGAACTCAATGACCTGTCCATACCTAGCAGTTGTGCCTCATCGCGGGACGGGAAGAGAACCCACAATGGCTGGGTGGGAAGAGAAAAGGAGAGGACCCTTTGCTGTCTGTGGAGGGGGTGCCCAATGGGGTGTCCCTTGACGATTCCTCTACTGCTGTGAGAGCCACTCATAAGGTGCACACAGACACATGGCCCAATGCCAAGAGGAAACCTCTGGGAACAGCATGGCTCTGATGCTCAGAAAGGTGTGAGCGTAGAGCCCAGAGCCCAGCACCTGGTCTGAGTCACAGGACCACATGACCCTGGGAGGGCCTGGCTCGGGCACCTGGGCTCAGGCACCTCTGCAGGGAAAGAGCAGGGTTCAGTGGGGCAGGGGCAGAACCCGGGATCGGGCGGAGCTGCAGGCTCTAATGAGCTGCACAGTCAGAGTTATGAGGAAATACAAGAAAAGGGGCAGGGGCTCCGCCCGCTCTTACCAAACACAGTGCTCGCCTTGATGAAAGCCACATCTCCAGCCCCATCTCTCAGACACCTGCGAAGTCAGAAAGCCCCAAGGGTGAGTGCCTGAAGCCTACCTCATCAGCTCCCAGGGAGGTGGAGATCTGGGGTCCCTCCGGGTGGGGCTGAGGTGCTGACAGGACCCTGACTGTGGCTCTGGGGCCAGAGGAGCTGCCACTTCTGTTCTATGCAGGACAGCTTTGGGGCTGCTGCACCAGAAGGGAAGGTGTGGTGTCCCTGGCCGCGTGGCTCTTCCTCAGGTCTGGCTTGCCAACATGCTCTGAGAGATCCCTCTGCAGAATGCTCAGTGGACTCAGCAATGGGGCAGCAGCGGCGAGGGTGGAGGGGAGGTCAGCCAGGGCTCCTCTTGCCCTCCCAGAGAGCTAGGGACATCAGCCTGGACACCGTGCTGTCCTGGCCAGCTGGCCCCCAGGAGGGATGTCACAGGACATGACTCCTTCAGCCTCGAGGTGTTCAGGGGAGGGACTGGAGTTAGCAGGAGAACCCAGGACAACGGGTGGCCCTGGTTCCCACCAGCAGTTGAGACAGCTGGGCCTGGGAAGAGGCCTCATGGGCAGAGGCCACATGGGCAGAGGACTCATGGGCAGAGGCCACATGGGCAGAGGCCACATGACCCATGGGGGGGGATGAAGACGGCGTCACTCACTTGAAGGCACCAGAGTAGCCGAAGTACGGCTCCTGGGTGGAGAAGGCACATTTGTTTGTCCCTGTCCCTGTACACAGGCGACACAGGTTGGGAAACCGTACTCCATCCGCACCAGGAACACAGCTGGCTGAGAAGAACCTGGCCACAGCTGGAGAGCAGAGAAGTGGACCGCAGAGTGGGAGCCAGCCCTGCCATGGAGTCACCAGTGGGGTGTCCCCAGTGGCACAACCCCTCACCCTCCCTGCCTCTTACTCCTTGGAACCCCTTCTCCCCCTGGCAGGGGTTTGGAGTTCAGGGACCTTCGCTGAGCTGGGCTGGGTCCCCTCCCCAGAGACACTTGCTTCCTGCTAGCCTTCCCCGACCTTCCCCCAGGGTCACCCCTGTGGCCCATGACCACAGTGGTAATAGGTGCTCCTGCTGAGCTCTCCTAGGACCCCCAGGTCATCTTACCTGCCTCGATGGGCTCAGGGGGTCCTGTCCAGTTCAAGAACGGACGGAGCAGCCCTATGGGGACCCTCCAACCAGCGGTCCTGCGAATGCCGGTGTGGCACGACCTCCGACCCCGTAACTGGTCCAGCCGGAAGTTGCTGCTCCTCTTGACCACAGCCACAGCATAATAGTGTGTCCGGGGCTCTGTGAGGGGCAGGGAGACCTAGAAGTCAGCCTGGGTGGGCTGGAGGAGCACAGTGTTCCCCTCCCCACCCCATCCCCCAGTAGGAGGGCACCTCGGGTGATCCCCTCTCAGGTCAGAGCCTCTGCTCCCTGTGTTACGGTGCGCACCGGTCCCTGGAGCCCAGGCCACGGCCACGACCACCCATCTTCAGTCCCCCAGAACTCACCTGCTTCGGTGCCATATACTTCCGCAGCCACAGGCCGCAAGTTGTAGGGGTCTTTCCCCGCCTCATACAGCTGCCCACCGTCCAGGGTCATGGCATCAGCCTTCTTTGCCTGTAGGAGGAGGGGTCAGGGGAGCCTCAGGAAACCCCCTGAGTCCAGGTAAATGCACACCAGGGCCGCAGAGAGGCTGCACAGCCAGGAGGCTCCACCACCGTAAGGGTCCCAAAGCAGCCAGGTGGCTGCAGAGTCCACTGTCCAGGGGAAACACCAGCCCAGGTCTGGCAAAGCGCTTTAACTCCCCGCTGGCTCCAGGCCCTGACCATAGCAGCTCCACCACTGGGTTTCAGGCTGTTCTAGATGTTTCTCCCTATGCTTACTTCATGCTTGAAGTTCTTCCTACTGAGCAGAAAGTATAGCTATTCAGATGTCCTAGCATGACCATAACACACTGCTGCGTCCTTCACCTTCTGCCAGCTGGTATCCCCAATGAGCTCTGCCTCATGGGTGCCCATTGCTGGTACTCTGGGCCTCTAAAACTGGTGCGGAGTCTTTGTGGACTCTGTTCACCAGCCACTGTCTTCTCCCCCTGTGGATGTCCCCTAAGCAACTCAGGACTCCCCCAAGGTCCAGCACCTGGGTGATCTGACTGGGAAATCTTGGTTCTCCTTTCCCCAGAGACTGTGTCCTTGGAGGAGGCCAGGAGGACAAGATGGGAGGGGCCAGGAGCTTGCCTCTGTGCCCGGTGCTGCCTCTGCCCTGTCTTCCGAAGATTCTTGGCCACATGGACCAGCGAGGACCAGCCCTGCACAGCACGGCCAGGACAGAAAATTACAGTCCAACAAGCTGCCCGCATCCGGTGACAATGGACAGTGTGTGCCACTAACCCTCCATTCCTGTCATTTGTCATGTGAAACTACCTTTCCTGCCATCTCGCACTGCCTCTTCATAGAGCATAAATGGCTTTCATTTACCAGAGCTCAGACATATCCATTCGCTCTGGTGCTTCCTCAGTGTTTGTGTAAATAATTTTATTGGCTACAAAATTTTCTTAATAGATTTTAAGATGTCAGTTTGCTTCATGATTTAGTTCAAGCTAATGTGTAGAAACACACATCAGTAGTCATCTCAGTCTGGGGAGACTCAAAGGGCCATCTCAAAAATTAATAATAAGGCCGGGCAGATAGCTCAGTAGAATAAGTGCTTGCCTGGCAAGTGCAGGGTCCTGAGTTCAATCCCTGGTACCAAAAAAAAAAAAAAA